GAGAAGAGAAGGCTTTGGGGAGACCTTATTGCAGCCTATCAGTACTTCAAGGGGGCTTACAAAAAAGATGGCAGCAAACTTTTTAGCAGGGCCTGTTGTGACAGAACAAGGGGGAATGGCTTTAAATTAAAGGGGGGGAGATTGAGACTAGATCTAAGGCAGAAATTTTTGACGCTGAGGGTGGTGAAGCACTGGCACAGGTTGCCCAGAGAGGTGGTGGATGCCCCATCCCTGGAAACATTCCAGGTTGGGTTGGACGGGGCTGTGAGCAACCTGATCTAGTTGAAGATGTCCCTGCCCACAGCAGGGGGGTTGGACTAGATGACCTTTAGAGGTCCCTTCCAACACAAACTATTCTATGATTCTATGAACTTCTAGATGTATTTAAACAGAGCTTTCCACTAGAGATCATGAACAAAAACTGTTCAAGTTTTTATTATCAAAGATTATTAAGATAACTACATAAAATGAGTAAATATAGCATCAGGCTAAAGGAAGAAGCAAAACAAATCAAAAATACTTGCCTGGGTAACAAGTGGCTCCAATAGCCTCTCTACTGTGAGAGTCCTTATTTCCAAACTTTTGGGGTCCCATTTCAAAATGATATGTGATGTTGCAGAAGTCATACTCCCTAGAACAGAAAAAATGACACAATATCCATGAATATTATTAGTGTAATAACCAAATATTGCATATAATTTATTTAAAGAATAGCATATATGCTGTTGTGGTGGCTTGACGTTGGCTGGATGCCAGGGGTCCACCAAGCCACTCTATCACTCCCCTCCTCAGCAGGACAGGGAGGGTGGAAAGTAAGATGGAAAAAACTCATGGGTCAAGATAAAGACAGTTTAATAAAGCAAAAGCAAAGGCCGCACATGGAAGCAAAGGAGAACAAAAGATTTATTCTCTACTTCCAATCAGCAGGCAATGTCCAGCCACTTCCCGGGATGTAGGCCTTCAATACGCATAGCGGTTGCTCCAGAAGACAAATGTCATAATAACGAATGCCCCCCCTCCTCCCCCTTTCTCTTAGCTTTTATTGCTGAGCAGATGTCATATGGTATGGAATATCCCTTTGGTCAGTTTGGGTCAGCTGTCCTGGCTATGTTCCCTCCCAAGATCTTGCCCAACCCCAGCCTACTGGTGAGGGGGGAATGTTGGAGAGACAG